CGCTGTCTGCTTTCTTCTGTGTTATCGAAATTCACTTCTGAAGTTCCTTCCATTTTCAGATGAAAGACTGTATAAAGAGAATCTTCCGTATGATGGGGTGAGTATTGTCTTTATGGAGTTATTGCTTTTCTACCTAATCCTGGGCATCTCTCATGTTAACTGCTCTTCTCTTGGTTGCAGCTTTGAGGAAATGCCCACAAATAGATATGTTGAAAGCAGGTCTCTGCCTTTTCCATCCCTCTAAGTAACTCTTTAAATTACCACTTGCTTTATTAGTTTCTGTTTATGCTTTGACATTTGAGTTTAGCTTGATAAACTCTGCCGGGGTGGCTCGTAAGACTGGAGATTCTTGTAACCTTTTATTGAACTTTTCAGTAAAAAACAGTTCAAGGAAGCAATCTTAGAGTCTTCATGTTATTTTCTACAACTGACATGTTTCCTTTTGAATTTACAGCTTCTGGAACTTTGATGCTCTGTTCCAGCCACAGCAACATCCTGCCCGGGATTCACATGATACATTTTTCTTGAAAAGTACGTTTGTATAACTATCTACAGTTTGATTTTGGTTCTCACCCTTGTGGTAGTGTGATCTGATGTATTCTTGTGCAGCTCCTTCAACAACAATGCAGCTCCCTGAAGATTATGTTGAGCGAGTGAAGCAAGTTCATGAGTCTGGTGGTTATGGATCACGAGGGTATATAGATCTCATCTGCATCCCTTTTCCTTGATGATCCAAGCAAATGTTTCCTCTCTCAACTTTCTTGTCTGCTGGCAGATATAACTATGAGTGGAAAAGAGAAGAAGCAAACAAGAATCTTTTGCGTACACATACGACAGCGATCTCTTCGAGGATGCTTTATAAGCTAGCACAGGTATATTGATCGTGATTTCTGTACGTTTTATCCTTTCCCTGTCCCCAGGTCCCTTTTCCTAGTATTTATATCCCTCTTCTACGATGTATTTTATGGGGTTTTTTTTTATAGAAGTACCATTCTCTTAATTGCAGGACACAAAACAGAATGGTTTCACCCCTAAAAAGTACTTCTCCATTGACCGTGTTTTCAGAAATGAAGCAGTAGACCGTACACATCTTGCAGAGTTCCACCAGATAGAAGGTATGGTCCCCTCTATTTTTGTCAATTCATTTTTCTGTCATCCCCTGTTTTACGAAACGATTGGATCAATTCTGTTCTCGCATGAATCCTCTATTTTCTGACTTGTAGCCTTCTGTCTTGCCTAAAAAAAATAAATGCTATTTCTTGCATTTCTTTTTTGTCAATTCATGGCCCCAAAATAATAAGAAAAATCCTCTAATAACTAATGATTTCATGGCTATTCTCTCCCTCTTAAACAAGTTTTCTGCATGACTGGGTTTACTTCTGTTACAAAGTACTACACATTAAGCTTTACAATGATTGTAAAGTTTCTATCTTCAATCAGAACTTGCCGCTGAGGCATTCTACTTTCCTGGGCCAATGATTCTTGTTTTCAGGTCTCATCTGTGACAGAGGGCTCACACTGGGTCACTTGATAGGAGTCCTGGAAGACTTCTTCAAGCGTCTAGGTAATCATCAATGACTTGAGAAGCAATGAGGACTTGGGTTGGATATCAAATTGGTGCCTTACTGGCTTCTTACTATCTTTTTGTCCAGGAATGTCAAACTTGCGCTTCAAGCCTGCCTACAATCCATACACTGAGCCTAGCATGGAAATATTCAGGTAACTAATGATGCTGTTTTTTATGCTTGGTTGGTGGTACTTTCATGCAGAGCACATAAGAGGTCTAATTTAATTATACACATATGTTCAGTTATCATGAAGGATTTGGGAAATGGGTGGAGATTGGGAACTCTGGAATGTTCAGACCGGAGATGCTTCAGCCAATGGGTTTCCCTGAAGATGTCAGGGTCATTGCATGGGGGCTTTCTCTTGAAAGGTAAGCAAGTTGGCATCTCGTCTCGGTCTGGTAATTTGGTTCTACCACCATCTACACAGAACCTTCATTTTCTTCCAACTTAACTAATCAATTATTCTTCTATCTTGCTTCTTTGTTTCGACATAGACCTACGATGATACTGTACGGCATCGATAACATCCGAGATCTCTTCGGGCACAGGGTAATCTAACTCTCAACCCATACTAAGAAAGCATATCATTTTATTCACGGTCTTTAGTGGTGCAATAGTTGCTGACTAAGGCGTGTTTTGGATGTTGATTTGCAGGTGGATCTTGACCTCATCAAGAAGAGTCCTTTGTGCCTCATTGGCATTAAATAATAGACTTCAGCGTATTTTCCTTCAGTTTTCTGTTCATCATTATATACAAAGCTCATTCTTAGCTGCGATTTGATGCTCGACAAAGATTCTTGTAGCTTGTTCTTGGTTTCAAAAGTTTTCAGCGTGGTTTAGACTGGGGCTGTCGATACGGGGGATGGTGTTAACTGGTGCTGTACACAACTTGGTCTCGTAGTTGTTCGCCTTGGACGTTATGAGCCTCTTAGTAGGTCACTATTAGTATGTTGAGACTTGAGAGTGTTTATAACAGTAGTTCCTAATTCGTCATATCCTATACGGCCTCAACATCCGGATAGGCTCCTAACATCTCCTTGCATTCAATGCATCTCACGGTCGTTGGATTGAGCGTTCGGAGATAGTCATTTGGTGTACGAACAGTTATCGTAGTAATGCGAAATGCATGATCCCACAATTGCATATGACGTTGGAATGTTCAAAAGTCTAAGCACAGTAGCAGTATTCAATTACGAGGAGTATGGTTGAAGAATGGTATTGTTGGCTTGTTTGTTAAAATGTGGATTGAAAGGAAAGGAAAGGAAAGGAAAGGTGCAAAAAGAGGAGGAAAGGGGTAGAGAGAGGGCTACTGATTTCTAGGCATTGGAAGATCATCACCTCCCATGGCATCCCAACCAACAAAACTAACTATAGCCACTCCCTAGTAGTGTAAAGGCAACGCCGCCGCAACTCTTCTTTCCCGGCGAAAAAGAAAGTTGCACCAACCTTAAAAAAGGTTTTAAAAATAGACAATGAGTATAAGAGAAAAAGGAAAAAAGAGTTGCAGGAAATGTTTTGTTTATTGCCAGTTGTGGGTTCGTTGGTTCTCTGTAAAATATATTATTAGGGTTAGCTCGTCTTTGGATCCCGAGAGGGTAAGTCATAGTAGTCTTTGGGAGCAAGTTGCAATTTGGAAAATGGGTATTGGCATGAGAGGCCATGTTACCTAAGACACAGCCTCCGCACATTCTCCTGCATCTGCATGTTGCATGGGCCACTTCCCCCAAACATATAACTGCCATCCTCATCTAGCAACTATAGAAGAAACACAAAGAGAGAGAGAGAGAGAGAGAGAGTTCCTTTGGATGGTTTCTAATCTAGACACTCTACCTAACTCAACTTTAGTCTAATCATGACAAGAATACACCATTTCCATTTCGTAAGGTGCTAGACTGCTAGTACGGAAAATACGAGAGGAAAGTTAGATGCAAATGAGTTTTTAGTTGTATAGGCCTTGTCCATATGTTCTAAGTTATCTTCACGTTAGATTAAGTAGTTGATTAATTTCATGAACTATGTTCATATGAAAAAAATTGGTTTGATATTCATTATCCATTGAATTTATATATTAGTTTCGGGTTCTGAGTTTTGTATAAAAAAATAACCTTATTGATCATCCACGAGTACGGTAAGTATATGTAATGGAGAGCATAAATTCTAGTCACGAGGATGGGGAGGATATGGGTTATTGATATCTACTCCACTTTCATCCCCAATTACATTATTGCAAGTATGATCAAAGGAAAACATTAATGTAGTAACTAGTCTGGAAATCCATTGATTTGTTGTTGCTATGTTGCCTAATTAGGGACCATATCATACACACAAGCATTCTGGCATCCAAGCAATCTCAATACCATTTTAATTAATGAATTTAGGTACATGTGAAAAATTTCCCACTGTTACAAATTCATGAATATGATCAGAAAGTTAAACCCAATTCATAGTCAAATTGATGAATCCAATGTAATCAAACTCTACTAGATGAGAAATCAATACTCTAAGCAACTAAATGATAAATTTATGTTATAACTACATATTCTATTAGATAAAGTAAGATAGCCTCAAATTTGTTTAATCTAAGTGAAATGGCATCATTGATACCCAACTCCCAAGTCCTCAACTTGAGGACCTCAAAGACTCAATTAAGAAGTGAGATTATGTAGTTAACTAGTTTGAGATTTTTTTTTTTGGAAAGGATCTTTGTACTTGTTTAGGCTTATCTTTTTCCTAGGGTTCTTAGCTTCTTAGCCCCACCTTATACCCTCTTCTCTGCCTCACACCCTTCCCCATTACAGGACCCGCATGCCACAGTTGAAAATAATTCGAAAAATGACCCCAAATTGATATATATTGCATGCACATGGCATTTGTCAAAAACATAACAATACATGCACATGGGATGTATGAATTTGAAATGTTACCAAATCTCATCATCATTATGTCAAAACAACATATTAAACATTGATAATGAGATGGATGATTGAATCAACCTCAGCCCATTCAAGGAATGAAAGCAAATCCTATATCAATTAGGTTTGGATGTTAGAAGATTCCTGACATAAACACTTGTTTATTTCTATCCGATCAAAAATTATATGGTTGTTATACATTTTTTATGCGAATACACCATAATTATTTAGGTTTCCTCTCACATTCAAGTGTAAAAAAGTATCCATCCATATAACGATCTGATCGAGAATCTAACAGTGGTTGTATGTTTAAAATGAAAACACACTTCAATCAATTGTTTTGTTCACGTCTAGTATACACCAATTGCCTGATTGCAAATCACATAATTAAAATGCATAAACACGATGCTGGCAACTATTCCATAAACATACTTACCTAAACAAGTGATGGGTTGAGACGAGAGAGAAGAGGGAATGCTTTTATCTTTTTTTAATCTTTTGTATTTTGTTGGGTTGGCTTGGCTTGGCTTCTATTTAAGGAAAGCTGAAGATGCATTGTTCAGGAATCAGTGGATGCATTCTCCCAAATCAGACAGTACAAAAGAGAGGAAAGAAAACACAAACCCACCAAACAGAAAGGAATTGATGAGAGCATAGAGAGGAGAGGGGAAGGAGAAGCACAAAAAAAGCTGACTTTAAAGCTTTAGAATAGGAAGTTTGCTTCTGAATGAAACAATGGATGCCCACAAAAGGTTAACATCACATCTTCAAGCAACCAAACCAAATGCCTTCCCATGTACCCTGTTCCCATTCATATAAGGAAAGCATTCCTGCCAAATACAGCAAAAGGGAAGGAAGAGGGCTGAAATAGGATTAAAAGAAAGAGAGCCTCTCAATCTCTGTCTCTCTATCTTTCTCTTGTTCCTGTTTCTGGTAGAGCAGAGGAAAACCCAGAAAAATGGAGGCATTCATGTTGCAGAACCTCTTCAATGGAGGCAGAGAAGCCCAAATCCAAGCTGCCTCCGAGATGGTCAAACTCAGCAGCAAACTGAGGCAGAAGTTAGTGGAAGGTGGAGTCATTCTCCCTTTGATCACCATGCTTCAGTCTCAGGACTATGAATCCATCCAAGCTTCACTCTTTGCATTGCTCACCCTTGCCTTTGGCAGTGAAAGGTAATACCCCTCACCCACACCACACCACACCATACCATTTCTGCCCATTTCCATTTCCATTAACCAAAAACAATCACGTAACTCAACTGATTACCAATTGGGTTGCAGGAACAAACGAAGGATGGTGAAATCAGGCGTGGTAGATGTGCTACTCCACCTCCTCCAATGGCAGGAAGAGTCATTGACAGAGCTAACAGTAGCAGCTCTACTCATCCTCTCCTCTTGCGGGCCAAACAAGCCACTCATCGCATCATCAGGAGCCATCCAAATCCTAGTCGATTCAATCCCCATTCTAACCACCACCCAATCAAAGCTCGACACTTTGACCACACTCCACAATCTCTCCACCTGCAACCAGGCAATCCCACACCTCGTCTCATCAGGGCTAGTCCCCACATTGCTCCAACTCCTAACCCAACATTCTTCCTACCCAATTCAACCAGAGCTGGCGGACAAGGCAATGGCGCTGCTGGAAGCCGTCGCGATCTCGTCGGAGAGGGCCGTGGCCCAGGCCGCCGGAGGGATACGGGTGCTGGTGGAGATGGTGGAGGAAGGCAGCCCACAGGGGAAAGAACATGCCGTTGGGGTGCTGGTGCTGATTTGCCAGAGCTCGAGGGAGAAGTACAGAGGGTTGATCCTGATGGAAGGCGCCATGCCCGGTTTGCTGCAGCTGAGCATTGATGGGAGCTGGAGGGCGAGGGGTTTGGCTCAGGAGCTGCTGATGATGCTTCGAGGGGATTGCGATGGTGGGTCGAGAGGGAAGCAGTGGAAGCAGGAGATGGTGGAGAGGGTGATGCAGGAGATCGATGCTGCGGAAGGGGAGGAGGAGGAAGTATTCATGGGGAGTGGTGGAAGTAGTACGCTGAGATTGGTGGAAGAGATGATTGCGAAGCTGAGTACCTGATTTTGGTTTAGATTTTGGGATTAGGGTTCTTACTTCTTAGGGAATTGGGGTTCCAGCTTTTGTACATAAAAAAAAACAGAGATTGATTCGATTGGGTCTTTTAGGAGCGGAGAAGAGATGATTGCTAAATGCTAACCAGAGAGCTAGATAATGTACTCTTCCCAGGCCCGAGAAAATATCAATGGATACCTTCATTTCACTAGACTTTATCATAATGCACTTTTTTGTAGTTTGTTAGGGGGTTTGAATGTTTAGTATCACCCACCTTTCGATTTTTTACTGTATCGACTTAAAAACCAACTTTATTATTAAAAAACGTATATCAAACACCAAACAATCATTTTTCATAATACTCCTTTTATCACAGTTCATTCATAATCTTTTGTTAACCTCGCACCGACTTATCGTAATGACTAAACCGCAATACTAAACTGATATTCGTCCACTAAAATGATGTTTTTAAGCAAGTTAGTTATAAACGATAGAAATGGACCAACATATCTAAAGCAATACATAGTAGCACTACAACAGCAACATGAATTTGATATTAAAAAAAAACACCATGAAATAAGGAACAAGTAAAAAAATCAACTAATGACTGTAGGAAGAGAAAGCCATTATACCTTTAACCTTTTTAACCTGTTGATTTATTTATTATTAATTTTTTGTCATTAACTTGTTTGAAATTACTAGGGATAATATCTATTAAGGCTGGCCAGAGCAGATAAGCCGGCCCCCGGCCCGATTAAGCCCAATAGATCCAGTTAAGTTAAGAGGTGTCAAAAATGGGCCCAATTTTGCAGCCCAACTATCATTCCCGACCAATTATCTTCTTTTCTTTAAATCGGCCACAGAAAAGAAAACCCTAGCTAGTTTTCCCACATCGCCGGTCCCGAAAATATGTCTTCCCCTTCCGACCCTGGCTCCGACTCCGACTATGATTCCGACTCCGGATCCGGCTCAGAGGTTGATATGCGCCCTTCTTCACCTCGTCCCCGCGAGAAGAAGAACTACTACGACCTCACCTGCGAACGCTGCCGTGAACTGGAGCGTATCGAGCCGGTCATCGAGGACGGCGACGAGGAGAGGTATCTATTTGAATGCGAACGCGTCGGCGACGGAGAGTTCGGCGACGACGAAGGCATAAAGCAACGGGTCATCATGTATCGGAAGTCGTTGGCGAAATCCGGCGTAAGTTAGCTTATGATCAAGCAAGCCTGCCTGATGGGTCGATGAACTTTAATTTTAGACAGTTAATTAGTTAGTTAATCTTTTGCTCTCTTGATTTCTTGCAGGGGTTTGATGCTGACTGCCCTCCACATTATCTAACCCGCAGCGTATTTATCTTCTCCAGGGAGCATTTTGATGATTGGGATATTTTCGATATGAAAGTTCAGGAGGCTGTTGAACATGTGATCGATACATATAACAGAGAGAAGGTGCGAATGCTGTGGTTTTCTGTGAACGATATTTACACAGGTGCCTAGAGATTCTCTGTTCTGCTCAACGTGATGAAAAACTTTTACATGGTCTTCCTTTTGAAATGGTGTTTTACAGGGCAAGAGTTTGAAGTACGGGAAAACCTTGCACGTAACTGCATCTCGGTATATGTTGTTTACCCTCTATATTACTTTTGAGTGCTCCAATCCGCCGGAAGATCCTTCTTATGAGAAGTACCAAGCCGTGGTTTCCTGTGATATGATTGACAATAGTGTTGATGATAAGAAGAAGATTCTCATCTTCAGGAAGGAATCAACCGGGATGGGTGCGTTGTAGACTTGCTACTTACTTTTACTATGATGGACTATTATTTCATTTGCTTGAACTTGTTATTGGACTGTCTTAGATGAGGTGTGCAGTGGTGCTAATTGTTCATTGATCGTTCTATGTCTATAAAACTCTGTTTGACTCCTTGTGTTGAATGCTTGTACAGTAATCTAGTTATTTGCCATTGAGTTGGAACCATAGTGTCATCCAGCCATCTTGTAGCTTACTTTAGTATCCTGATTCATGCAAAGAGTAGGTACCATATTGGCCTTGCCATCACGCTGTTATATCAATTTGACATATATCCTAAACGTGAATAGAGTCCTAACTTAGAATCATTTCAGTAAAAAAAAAGTTCCACAATACAAGTCAAAAAATGATGATGATGTGATGATTGTTGTTGTTTTCATACCTGCTTTAGTCCTGTTAGTGGATGGGCTCGGTTACATTGTGTAAGTAGTGCTTTTATCGTCAGTTGATGTATCAGCTTATTTGTTCATAGAAGTCTAATGTTTTCCAATAAAAGGTTAACACAACCCACCCCTTTCGTGTGCAGATTTGCTAGATCCTGACATGCCAACTGCTCGTTACATAGAAATTTTGAAAGCGAGAGCTAGAGGTGGGAAAAGAAAGTCTGAACGTGATGACGGAGTGGAGGGTTGAGTGATGATGAGAATGTGGTCACACACGCTGCTTGTTGTGTTGTTTATTTGAAGAATTCCATCTGTTCAGATCTGATGTTGAACTCTGAACTAGAGACATCGCCTATATATGTATGTCATGGCATTGATCATAATTTTGCCCAAAAAGTGGAGGTCTGCTAGCTAAGTCCTATCTTTAATCTTTGCTCTGTAGTAGTTTTGTTTAAACGGTTGTGGAGACATGGCAGCTGTGTATGTGTTTAATCTGGACAATTGTTTATGAGTGATGATGTTGTGTGGTAAAAATGGTTCTATATCCGTACTCTCTCTTCTTCTGAAGAATTTGTGTGTTATGGGTCTGTCTGGGCTAGGCTAGGCGTGTGCAGTGCAGCCAAGCCAATAGGAATGGCAATGGGGCAGGTCCGGGGCGGGTTTCTTGGTACCCAGACCCGTCCCGTGGCAGGTCGGGTCCAGGTCGGGTAATTTATCACGGGTCGGGGCAGGTCGACCCAATGGGTAAGCAATCTATATGAAAAATATTAGAAATGTTTGTTATTTTTATTATAAGACCATGGAAACAAACAATATTATGATAAATATAGTTAAATTATTGGAGAAATTGAGGTTTTCACTAATTTACAACTTTATTATAGCTAAAATTTGATTTAGTAAAAGGAAAATCTTAAGTAACTTGACTAAAATTACGTGTAATATAGGCAAGAACGGGTCGAGAATGGGGCGGGTCAGGGCAGGTCGGGTCTATGAGAGTACCCATTCCCGCCCCGCCCCGCCTACGGGGCGGGTCGGACCCGCCCCGCCCCGCCTACGGGGCGGGTCGGACCCGCCCCAAAATAGGTCAAACAGGTCGGGTAAAACGGGTCAGGTCAAAATTGCCATCCCTATAAGCCAAGCCATTCGTGTTGCATAAGCTGACATTGCCTATCAGGCAATGCAGTCAAAAGCGCGATTCTACATAGAAGCGGAAAAGGGGTAAAATCGTAAAACGTAGAATTAAAGCGTAAAAGCGTAAGTTTTTGACGCATACTGAAAAATAACTAAAAATCTATTAAGTAGGACATATGCTATGCAAAATATGAATGCACAGAATTTAGATAAGTTAATAAATACATGTGATTCATGTTTAAAGTAGAGCAACTTATAGCATCTTAATAATAAGTTCGTAAACATAAATTTTAACGATAAGCCACTTTTCCCTCTATGCTAATGAATTTGGGAAAACCCTAGTTGGTGAATTAGATTACTCTATTGAAGTAGAATGCATCCAAGTACCTAGTATGTATCTTTTAATCTCAAATGTATCATATTGTTAGTGATTTACTTTAAAAATATACTTTTTATAATTAATTTCATGAAAAGAATACTCATGTAGCGAACTAAAAGCGTAAAAACGTAAAGCGTTTTGGTGAACTAGAACCGTAAAACCGTAAGTTTTTAAGTTTTAAAGCGCAATTTAGTCCGATTTTATACACTTAAGTTTTTATATGGAAACGAAAGCGTTTTGGTGACCCAAAAGCGTAAAATCGTAAGTTTTTAAGTTTTAAAGCGCGATTTTGACTGCATTGCTATCAGGTATCGACTATCAACTTGGTCAACCAATCGTTAAGCTTGGTTTCTTCACAACAAAGAGTGAGGGTGCCAGACTGGCAGAGCTCCTCGTATTCTAAGAATCTTCCCAAACCACTTCTGACAAGTAGGAGTGGGCAACGGGACGGGTATCCCGTCCCGTTTGTAGACCAAAGTCCATCCCATATCCCAAACCCATATGGAAAACAGGTACCCATTTTCCGTACGGGACGGATAACGGGTATCCATACTACCCATAAATACCCAAAGTTTAAACCACTAAAAATTTAACAAAAGTTTAAACTTGTATTTGCTTAACAATCACAAGACACAAAATACATCACAATCACAAATACTCGGTTTGCAAATAACACATTCATGAACAATCACAACACATAGAAATAAATCATTCCAAGCACCAAATTATCAAATAAGAAGTTTCATTCAACACAACCAAATGGGAGGCATGCTGCAACTTTTCTTGTGTTGTTCAATGCAGAAAGTGTCCAAATTTTTAGGTTCATGGGAAGCTAAAATCTATAGCAGAGAAGCTGAGTCTCACTGAAAGGGTAAGGGCCCTAGGCCCAAATGGCAAATGGCAAATGGAATTGAAATTGCAAGGGTGAGGGCCGAAATGGCCAGGGTTCTAAATTGGGCTGGATTGCCCTTGTATTGAATGGGTATAACGGGTACCCATATTACCCAAACGGGTATTCGCGGGTAACCCGCGGGTACCCATATTAGGAATGTACAATCCCAAGTCCCATCCGTTTATAATATTACGGGTAATATGGGTACCCGTAACCCTTAAAAAACGGAGCGGGTATAGGTATACCCAAATACCCGTTTTCCGTTGCCCACCCCTACTGACAAGCATTCTACCCATGGACATACCCTAACATCAAGTTTCTTACTTATGAATAAGGTTGCTATTCGGTCGGTTACCGATTAAACCAGTAATTGACTGGCCGGTTTTTGGTATACAGGCAGAGGCCACTCACGGATCGAATACTGGTACCGGTTTGTAACTGGTTAACCGGAAAATAACCGACCAAAGATCTGGGCAGGTTTATTAATGGTCCAACCCAGCTTGCTTTCCTCTTCGTGGATCCAACCCAATGTCTTCTTCCGAATCCGAATCCGGCTCCGGCTCAGAGGTTGAAATGCGCCCTCCTTCACCTCGTCCTCGCGAGAACAAGAACTACTACAACCTCACCTGCGAACGCTG